GAATTTTCCTCCAATGGGATTTTCCCATTTATTTTACCAGTAAACCTAGATAGGGCATGCTAGAAAATATAGTGCCCCACTAACCATACCCAAGACCCCGGAATTTGTTTGTGACGTCCATTTTGTGCTATTTGATCATGGTAACCTAACCCTAACCCTAAGTAGAATTTTCTCCAATAGGATTTTGCCATGTATTTTACCAGGAAACATGGATCGGGCAGGCTAGAAAAGTCACTGTCCCACTAACCATACTCAAGAACCCCGAATTTGTTGGTGACGTCTATTTTGTTCATTGTGACCTAACCCTAACCCTAAGTGGAATTTTCCTCTAATGGGATTTTACCATGTATTTTATCAGGAAACATTGATAGGGCAGGCTAGAAAAATCATTGCCCCCCTTACCCTACCCAAGTCCCCGGAATTTGTAGGTGACATCCATTTTGTGTTATTTGTTCATGGTTACCTAAACCTAACGATAAGCAGAATTTTCCTCGAATGCGATTTACCCATGTATTTTACCAGGAAACATAGATAGGGCAGGCTAGAAAATTCAGTGCCCCTCTAACCATACCCAAACACTCCCATTTTCTTGGCAATGTCCATTTTGCTCTGTGAGTTCGTGGTTACCTAACCCTAACCCTAAGTGGAATTTTCCTTCAATGGGATTTTCCCATGCATTTTAACTTGAAAAATAGATAAGGCAGACTAGTAAACTCAGTGCCCCCCTAACCATGCCCAAGCACTCCGAATTTCTTGGTGATGCCTACTTTGCTCTATGAGTTCATGGTGACCTAACCCTAACCTTAAGTTTAATTTTCCTCCAAGGGACTTTTCCCATGATTTTTACTAGGAATCCTAGAGAGGGCAGGTTAAAAAAGTCAGTGCCCCTTAACCATACCCAAGTACTCCCAATTTGTTGGCAATGCCCATTTTGCTGCATATGTTCATGGTTACCTAACCCTAACCCTAAGTAGAATTTTCCTCCAATGGGATTTTCCCATGTATTTTACCAGTAAACCTAGATAGGGCAGGCTAGAAAATACAGTGCCCCACTAACCATACCCAAGACCCCTGAATTTGTTGGTTACGTCAATTTTGTGCTATTTGTTCATGGTTACCTAATCCTAACCATAAGTAGAATTTTCCTCCAATAGGATTTTGCCATGTATTTTACCAGGAATCATAGATAGGGCAGGCTAGAAAATTCAGTGCCCCACTAACCATACCCAAAAACCCTGAATTTGTTGGCGATGTCCATTTTGCTGTCTGAGTTCATGGTGACCTAATCCTACCCCTAAGTAGAATTTTTCTCCAATGGGATTTTCCCATGTATTTTACCAGGAAACATAAATAGGGCAGGATAAAGAAATCAGTGCCCTCCTAACCATACCCAAGCTCTCCCAATTTGTTGGCAATCTCCATTTTGCTGTATACGTTCACGTTGACCTAACCCTAACCTTAAGAGAAATTTTCCTCCAGTGGGATTTTCCCATGCATTTTATCAGTAAACCTAGATAGGGCAGGCTAGTAAAGTCAGTGCCCCGCTAACCATACCCAAGCACTCCCAATTTGTTGGCAATGTCCATTTTCCTCTGTGAGTTCATGGTGACCTAACCCTAACCCTAAGTAGAATTTTCCTCTAATGGGATTTTCCCATGAATTTTACCAGGAAACATAGATAAGGCAGGCTAGTAAAGTCAGTGCCCCACTAACCATACCCAAGCCCTCCGAAATTATTAGTGACGTCCATTTTGCTCTATGAGTTCATGGTTACCTAACCCTAATCTTAAGTGGAGTTTTCCTCCAATGGGATTTCCCCATGTATTTTACCAGGATACATAGATAAGGCAGGGTATAAAAGTCAGTGCCCCGCTAACCATACCCAAGAACCCCGAATTTGTTGGTGACGTCCATTTTGTTCTATGAGTTCATGGTTACCTAACCCTAACCCTAAGTAGAATTTTCCTCCAATGGGATTTCCCCATGAATTTTACCAGGAAACATAGATAGGGCAGGCTAGAAAATTCAGTGCCCCTCTAACCATACCCAAGCACTCCCAATTTCTTGGTAATGTCCATTTTGTCCTATGAGTTCATCGTGACCTAACCCTAACCCTAAGTGGAATATTCCTTCAATGGGATTTTCCCATGTATTTTAACTTGAAAAATAGATAAGGCAGGCTATTAAACTCAGTGCCCCCCTAACCATACCCAAGCACTCCGAATTTCTTGGTGATGTCCATTTTGCTCTATGAGTTCATGGTTACCTAATGCTAACCCTAAGTGGAATTTTCCTCCAATGGGATTTTCCTATTAATTTTACCAGGAAACATAGATAGGGCAGGCTAGAAAAGTCAGTGCCCCTCTAACCATACCCAAGCACTCCCAATTTCTTGGCAATGTCCATTTTGGTCTGTGAGTTCATCGTGACCTAAACCTAACCCTAAGTGGAATTTTCCTTCAATGGGATTTTCCCATGTATTTTAACTTGAAAAATAGATAAGGCAGGCTAGTAAACTCAGTGCCCCCCTAACCATATCCAAGCACTCCGAATTTCTTGGTGATGTCTATTTTGGTCTATGAGTTTATGGTGACCTAACCCTAACCCTAATTGTAATTTTCCTCCAAGGGCCTTTTCCCATGTTATTTACTAGGAATCCTAGATAGGGCAGGTTAAAAAAGTCAGTGCCCTCCTAACCATACCCAAGTACTCTCAATTTCTTGGCAATGCCCATTTTGCTGCATATGTTCATGGTTACCTAACCCTAAGTAGAATTTTCCTCAAATGTGATTGTCCCATGTATTTTACAAGGAAACATAGATAGGGCAGGCTAGAAAATACAGTGCCCCTCTAACCATACCCAAGCCCTCCGAAATTGTTAGAGACGTCCATGTTGCTCTATGAGTTCATGGTTACCTAACCCTAACCCTAACCCTAAGTATAATTTTCCTCTATTGGGATTTTCCCATGAATTTTACCAGGAAACATAGATAGGGCAGGCTAGTAAAGTCAGTGCCCCGCTAACCATACCCAAGCACTCCCAATTTGTTGGCAATGTCCATTTTCCTCTGTGAGTTTATGGTTACCTAACCCTAACCCTAAGTGGAATTTTCCTCCAATGGGATTTTCCCATGAATTTTACCAGGAAACATAGATCGGGCAGGCTAATAAAATCAGTGACCCGCTAACCATACCCAAGCCCTCCGAATTTGTTGGCAATGTCCATTTTCCTGTGTGAGTTCTCTTTTAATCATTTTTAGCAAAAAGTTCATAAAGGGTTTTCAATCTTTTATGAAATTACCCATGATCAAACAAGTATATATTTTTCTCTTGTGGGCAATCTTCTATTGGATTTCTTTGGAGAATTAACTTGGTACAGGTAGTTCTCAACTTACAACAGTTCATTCAGTGACCATTCAAAGTTACGGCCCTGAAAAAAATTACTTTTGACCATTTTTCACATAACCATTGTATCACCATGATCACAGGATCGATCAAAAGTCATGACACTTGGCAACTGACTCATATTTATGACAGTGGCAGTATCCCAGGTTCTTGTGATGTTTTGCAACTTTCTGACAAGCAAAGTCAATGGGGAAACCAGATTCACTTAGCAACCATGTAACTAACTTAATAATTGCAGTGATTCAGTTAACAAGAAAAGTTGTTAAACGGAGCAAAACTCAATGAACAAATTTCTCATTTAACAACTTAATTTTGGGCTCAATTGTGCTCGTAAATTGAGGACTACCTATATTGTGTAACTTATCTCTTGTTGTCTTCTGATATAAAGCATACTTATAATCTCTTGAAACTTTTATCTTTACATATTTTGTGTTGGTTCTGTGCATATTGTCTTCTTCTGTACCCATATCTTTCTCTTCCCATTCCATAGATTATGTTAGAACTTCAACATCCTTTCCTTAATATCTTCCCCTTATTTTCTGGGATCTCCATTTTTTCCCTCAATTTGTTTTAACTTTTATTATAACACAGATTATTCAAGTTTTAAAAATTTACTTTCTCTTGCATATTTGCAAATGTTTCAGTCAGGTCTTTCTTAACAAATTCAGTCACTGAAGTCCTAGATGACCTTATAATATTCTTTCTAATTCATCAAACATAATTTGTAACATCCCTAGTATCCTTTTCTTGGTATTTGCTGTGCTAGTAATTCTCTCCTTCCTTCTTTCACTACTTCCCTGATAATATTTTTTCTCTTTCTGTCTCTCTTATATTAAGAGATAAAATCTCTTATCTTTTTGTACAGAAAAATCTACCAATCATTTCATTTGAAAAACACTCTTTTCCTTGAAGGTATATGCTATTTATTTAATTATAAACGCTTTAACTACACCCGTTAGCCTTTGCAATTTTTTATAGTCCAACCTTTTAGCAAGCTTTTTGCTGTATATTAGTTCTCAATACTTATACTTATCATTTTTAATATATTACTGTATTTCTGCTATTTTTTGTTTAATTTTATTCTTTTACTATTATTTTTACATTCTTTTTCAAATTTTGTCCGTTTTATTTTTGTAAGCCGCCCAGAGTAGCCCCACAATGAGATGGGTGGCAAATAAATTTAACAAACAAAATAAAGAAATATTTTTGTCTGTTTCTCTTTATTTATACCCTGATCATAGACCCTTGGGCTAGATTAATGGAGAAATTAATGGATGCCTCTTAGAAATTTGTGATATGGAAGCGGCTAATATTTTGCTTCTTTCAACTATTCTTTAGAGTGATTAGGTATCATGCTCAAAAACTAAAATAGTCTCATTTTTTAATACTATCCTATTTCTTAATAAAGATGAACTTTCCAAAGACTTGAGAACTATAGTTTAACAATTCAAGTACAATTGAACAATTGTAGTTCCATACAGGATTTGTAAATTGCTTTGTAAAATGTTACATACAAAGCATTATATTGCAGGTGCAAGACAATACTAGAGAGAAAAGAATGTAGAAACAATAGATAGGTAAAAAAAACATTCAGATTTTTCTATAACACAATTCAAGTTTATTCCATTCATTCCTGCAACACAAACACTGTATCATTTAGCAGTCTGATGTCTATGAACCATGATAATAATAAACCAAACTGTGTCAAAATAGTTACATTGTGGAAAAAAGTCAAATATCAAAATGCACAAAGCACTATTTTCCCCCATCACTGGAGTAGAAAGATGATTGTTTTCCCATTTATAAAATATAAGACTGTTCAGTTGAAGATTCTGCATGCAACACTGGAATTGCTCAACTAGGTCATTCTATTCTTACCAGCTTCTTCTATTAATCAATTCATCTACTTAGTACTGTATTGAAGAACAAAAACCAAGTCATGAAAGCAATGCCTATAACAAAGAGCAGAAAGTTTTAAAATGGTAAATCATCTTAAACAGAAATCAGAAAGGAAGGAGACCGATACTGCACTGGATTTCTAGATTGCTAACTAGTGCTGATGACTCCTTTAAATGGGGGTTGGGATGGGATACTTCAAGAGTGTTCACCAAGAGCTAGTATTATCAGATACTGGCAAAAATTTTAGAATACAAATCACATCTAGTACAAATTAAAAAAAATCTAAAGTTAGCCTGATTTTTTTAAATGAATAGCAGAGAAAGGGCACATATATATTTAATAACCCTGAACAAACAAGTATAAGACAGGTGTTAAGAGCTATTTATTGGAATCTACCTGTAGATGTGTAAGGAAAACATGAGCAAAATGAGTTGTGCGAAAGAGAAGAGGCACAAATGCTCCAACATATCAGACGGAGGGAGGGAGGGAGGGAGAGAGAGAGAGAATGGAAGAAATATTTGAACAAACTATTGATAATCATAATTTATGCCTTACTAGAATAGAATGGTAACATTTCACATCCCTTCAGGGCAAATGTCAATTAGGCCATGCCAATTGTGACAAAATATGTTTAATTTTAAGATTAATCTAAAATTCAATTTATTGGATTAACATTTTTTCAGTTTACCATAGCACAAAAAGGTGAATATGTGATTATGCAGACTGTGCATGCAAAGTTTATTATTTTTATATCACATTTCTGCACCAATACAAAAATATATTACATAGATCTACTTTTAAAACAGTCTTTGGAGAATAAAGTTTATTCCCCATGGATGCTAGATAACTGATCTGAATATAACAGATGATATCTGTGATAAGGGACAAATAAGATACAATTTAAGATACAATGTTAACATCGCTTAACAAGTCCATTTCTCCAGATTCTTTTTTTCTGGTGAGAGGATGGTACAATAGTAAAAATTAAATGTTTTTAAACTCAAAAGCTACATTCATTACATGAAATGTGCTAGACACCAGAACTTCCTAGATCAGGGGTTCTCAACCTTGGCAATTTTAAGACTTGTGGACTTCAACTCAGCTTTGCTGACTGAGGAATTCTGGGAATTGAAGTTCACAAGTCTTAAAGTTGCCAAGGTTGAGAACCCCTGTCCTAGATGACAGTCAACATTGCATTGCACACGTTGTTCAAAGCCGATAAAAATCTTACTGGGAAGTTTTTAATATTATGATACAAAATGTATTGACTTTTTCAATAAGAATATCCAAATGCAATTTAACCTAGCATCCCAATCAAGGTATCAGCATACTACAAATCCTTACCTGTGAATATTTTTAAAAGCACTACATTGAAGACTTGTGAAATTACTTGTATAAATCATAATCTGTTACTGGGCAGTAAATGCAACCTGTCATTGTTCAGGATCATTTTATCAATTGTATATAATTTTGATCATTGCCAGATGCAAAAGCTTAATAGTGAATCAAACTCCTTTCCAAGATACATGCATTTAACCAGATTAATGCAGCAAGGATGATGTTAAGAGAATAGAAGCTCCTGTCTTCTTTAAAACAAAGTTAATTTGAGTCATTTTATTAGGGTATTTTGAATTTAAATCAAGAAGGCAAAGTTACCATCTTCTAGCACCAACAGATCTGGAACAGTCACTTTGTTCCAGTGTATTTTACAATGTGCTAGGGGAGGGCACTTTAATTAGAAGTTTTTCAAAAGCTCTATTCCAGAAGTAATTGGTTTGCATCTTGGAAGGTAGAAAACCCATGATTTTAATCATTTCTTCCAGCACCTCTGCTGGAGATTTAGCCCTGCTTGTATTATTTGTTCCTTGTTAATAATGACATTATTAAATACAGGGATATTATCAGCAAAACCCTTCAGCATTACATAATCTATTTACGGCACAGGGACAGAACTACAGAGAAGCTATCCCATTGCCTTGCTTGTTAAATGTCGGCTTAACAGTACTGGGCTACTAATTGCTTTTACATATTAGAAAATAAAGAACAGAGTTTCCATTTTACAAACTTTCAGCAAGTCATTTACAAGCTACATTACAGAACACATTCTTCTCCCCTTCCACAGCATAAGTTCAATTTTGCTAGAAATGGGGAAAATTGTTCAGGGTAAAAAGTCCTAAAGAGACACCAATTATATGTATTTCTACTCTCCAAACATGTTCTCTTTTTGATAGAGGTACCTAACTAGACTGATTTACTGTGTTTTTTTTCCTCCCTCTCCAATATTTAGCTGAAGAAGCTGGAAAATACAAAGAGTGATAGACAGGCAGCAGTGTGAGGCCACAGGAGAGACATTAGATCTCAGTCCATCCATCACTGAAGAAGAGCTTTGATTGCCTGATTGTCAGTGGCTTCAAAGGCAGTTAGTCCATCTGGCCCTTTCACAGTCTTATCAGCACCCTGTAAAAAGATAAGAACTGTCACTTTAGGAAAAACAAACTTCTTTGTTATATACCTGATTCTCCAAGTGATCAGATGTGCAATCGGACTGCAAGCTCTTTTGGTTTCCAGAAATTAACCAAATGCTGCTGAACAAAGGTAAAAAAACTCTTCTGCAATAATGAAATGTCTTCAGATTTTTTTTGGGGGGGGGGGGTGTCTTATCAGGATTGAACCTCAGTTTGTTCCTCACCATCCACATCTGAACAGCCTCCAGGCATTCTGTTAGAACTTGACTCCATTGCTCAGTTTGGGGTCCAGATGTACAACTGGTATCATCGTATTAATGATATCTGAACTCAAACCAGGAGATGACTTCATCCAATCGATCCATATAGAAGTTAAGAAGGGAAGAGAATACTGAACCTTGTGAGACTGCACAAGTAAGGGACTGTGGGCATAATCTCTCCCATCTGGTCAACACCAACTGAAACTGGCCATAGAGAAAGGAAGATGACTACTACAAAATGGTTCCTCCCATGCCCACCCTCTTAAGCTGTTCTAAAAATATACTGTGCTGATAGTATTAAAAGCCACTGAAAGATCAAGAAATGCTACGATGGACATACCAGCTCCATCATGGTTTCTACCACAAGATCACAAATCAGAAAGAATCACTAATGGTATCTTTGTACCAAACCATGGCCTTAAATTTAAGTGAAAAGCGTCCAAAAGATCCATTTCTTGTTATGGAGCTGGAGTTGGGCTAGACCACCCTCTCTACCAACTTGCCTAAAAAGGGGAGACTGGAGATTGCACAGACTCAAGTCATCACAAATCCAATGATGACTTGAGAAGGTACACCACAGCCTGCTTCACAACCCCTTACAGTTCAAATGACACTGAAAAGAGAAGACTTGATAGCATTGAAAAAAGTGATTTACAACTGGTCCTTGTATTTATGACCATTTTTGTATCCTTGTGGTCATGTGATAAAAATTCAAGATCTTAGCAACTGGCATGCATTTACACTGGTTACAGCTATTTGCAATCTTCTCAGGCATCTTCCAACAAGCAAAGTCAATGGAGGAAGCCACATTTGCTTAATGACTATGAATGTATGACTGTTTAATGATGATTTGATGTTATAACGGCACTGGAAAAAATGACTTATGACCTGTCCTTGAAGTTATGACAATCACACCACAACGTCACATGATCACAATATGGACATTAGACAACCAGCTCGCATTTACAAAGGTTGTAGCATCTTGCAATCATGTGACTGCAATTTGCAGTCTTTCCAGCTGGCTTCCAACAAGCAAAGTCAATTGGAAAAGCCTGATTGGCTTAACAACTGATTCATTTAATGACCATGGTAAAATGTTTCTGAAATTGGGTCAGGTCATGCAATGACCTGCTTAGTAACTGCATCACTTAGCAGTTAAAATTCTGGTACAAATTGTATTTGTAAATATATTGTTTATAGTTTAGTATATGTGAACATAGCCCAAATGTCTATCAGTAGTTCTCACCTGGTGTATTAACAACTGTCAGTCTGCAATAAGTTACACAATTCAGAATGGGAAAAGTGAGATTTTATTTTATGAAGTTTGTCATTCTTTCTCTCTCTGTGTATCTAACAGAATATAAAACAGCAAAATAGAACAAACTGAGAAACAGTATCTGCCTTAAATGTTTGCTTCTAAATTATCTGAAAAAGAAGCCATGGTGAAAGGAACTGTTTTCTTTCCTGTAGACTAAATGAAATATTTGTACAGTTAGATGTTTAACTATTAAATTGAGGCAGATTTTTATTACAACAGAAAAAGAAATCATGCCACCTTAACATATGAACAGTTTTCAGGAGCTCCCCCCCCCCCCTTTTTTTTTTTTTTTCCTGAAAAGCAGTTTTATACGAATGGCATTCATGCTTGAAACTGAAACAGTGTAAAGTTAGTACACTGGCCTCTCTTTATATAAAAATAAATGTATGAGTTAAAAAGCTTTAAAACAGTATTTTTCAAAATGCCCTAAGTTTTGTAACACTTATATTTAATATAGTACTAGGATTGTTCCTATTTGCTTGTAGTTTTTTTAATTGACTATATCAACATGAATAATTATTCACAGCATAAATTCTACTTACCGTAAATGCCGGCGTATAAGACGACTTCCATGAGCGCTGAAATCGGCGCCAAAGACGGGGGTCGTCTTATACGCCGAGTCGTCTTATACTCCGGAAATACTGGTAGTTTCCGGCGTATAAGACGACGTTCTAGGAATGCGGGCTGGCTATAAAGACGGGGGTCGTCTTATACGCCGGGTCGCCTAATACGCCGGCATATACGGTATACTCTGTTAAATTAGCCAAATAATTTTAGAACAAAATAACTACACTAAACGTTACGCTATACATACAATAGCTCAAGTCAATGACTAATAAAAGGGGATTCTAAAGACTAAATCTTGTCATCCCCAAACATTTCAGATGCTCTGCATTTCATTAAATACTTTCTTCTTTTCTTTCTCACCCTTCTTCTATCTGATTTTCTTTCTGATATCTACTCCATATTAGGCATCCTTAAAATGTCTGACATCTTGAAAAATAAAATTTACTAAGTTAGTACAATTGTCAGAATGATACTATCATGTATTCTCACCTTTGACAGAAGTAATTTCACACAGGACACATGATCTTCATAAACTGCTGAAAGAAGTGGAGTGATACTATGCTTATCTGGAGCCTATAAAAAGTAAAAAAAAAAAGTAAGCTGTAAAAAAGCAACCTCAATCGATACATGCATCTCCTAATATGACTTAAGTAACAAAGTTGCATGCTTCCCTCATGAAGAATTATGCAGATATCACATTATTGGAAGGTTACATTTTACTAAAAGGTAAATCAACGGTGAGAGTGTGAAGCAAGCAAGTAGAAATGGTCTTTACTTCTACAAAAATTTCTTCATCTACAATATTTACTTAAAATTTGGATCTGGATATTACTAGAAGAGGATTGACAAACAGGAGTTCTTCTTGCTACAAATATTATCCATCCCTATAGAAAGTCTTCAATGTGTTTTAAGACTGGCTTGGGCAGGACTCGCCTCTGTTGTTGAAAAGCTGGACTATCGTATTGAGGATGTTGCAGATAAAATGGATTTATTGGAAGGCCGTGTTGAAAGTGTGGAAAAAACGGTGGAGATTTCACAGGATGAAATTGTTATGTCTCATATACGGTAGCTGTTTTTCTCCTGTACAGTACCTTCTCCCATATTAAAAGAGATCATCACTAGGCCTCATCATGAAGAGGACAACTTTTTTCTTGTTTCAAAACTTAAGCTTTATGAGAAGATGGAACCATCCCAAAAAACATGGCCAAAATGATAATCTTTAATCAAATAGAATATAGATATCCTACGTGATATTTTTGAAGATAATGACAAGATTTGGATGCTTATGAAAACCTCGATTAACTTCAAGTGTTCTGTTGAAGTAGTGAAGTGCTATAATCATCCAGATTAATCTGTTAGTTCCTAGTAAGTGGCAGCTAATGAAGACAGACTAGATAAGACAGACAGATATAGATGGATATTCTATTTTCTTTTAATATCCTCCAATAAATAAAAACTGTTATACTGTACTGCAATAACAAAATTAACACTTACGTCAAGGGCAATTATATATACACATCCTACTTTATGCATTTAAAACAGTTATTTGTCTTAATCTAACAGATATTTCATCTATTATATTGCCTGAATTATTTTATTTAACATACATTAATATCAGCTCCCTTTAATAGAAGAAACTCCAGAATCTCAAGCTGTCCACAATCTGCTGCATAGTGAAGAGGTTTTCTCCCACCTTCCAATGTTCGGTTAACATCTTCACCCTTTGGAATTAAAAAAAGGTTAATTATTCTTTGGTAAAATATCTTTTACTTCAACCAGTTGTAACATGAGGTCAGTAGTCTGGAAGTTCAGCCACAGCAGCTAGACGTTTTTTGTTGATTCAAAACATTTCACTGTTCATCTAAGTAGCTTCTTCAGTCTGAGCTAGTTGTTAGGGGGACCCCATATATGTCCTCCAGGGAAATTTCATTTCTCATCTAATTTGGATAGGCTTGTTAAATAAGTAAATAAGAGCCGAGGTGGCACAGCAGTTAGAGTGCAGTACTGCAGGCCACTTTAGCTGACTGTGTTCAGCAGGTCAGTGATTCAAATCTCACCGGCTCAAGGTTGACTCAGCCTTCCATCCTTCCGGGGTAGGTAAAATGAGGACCCAGATTGTTGGGGGCAATGTAAATATATATATATACATTGCTTACTGGTGTACACCGCTTAGAGAGTGCTTGCACTTAAAGCGGTATATAAGTTTCATAAATAAATAAATAAATAAAGTAGGCAGAAAGTTATTGAGATGTAAATGTTTCAACTTTTAAATTCTATACCCTAAGTGTGTGACCTCCCTGGTGAACCTGTAAAGTGGTCTTAACCTTTTTGGGGACTAATGAAAGAGCAGTATAAAAGATGGGGGACAGATTGTGTCTGAAACCTTGACCTCTATTGAGGAAAGAATTTTCCACTTTGGCATAAATAAGATTCCTTCGCTCCTTTCTCAAACCATCTGTGTCCCAAAAATGTGAACATTGTTGTTCAATATCCATTACATGTACAGTAAGAAACCTCAAAGCAAACAAGTGCATTTTTGCTTTCATTACATTATGCTGTATTGAAATGAATAAAATGACTTCTTTGTTGGGCTCAGAGATTTCTGGGTAATTTATGGATGCAGAGGCTGTAAAAAGCATGTTTAATAATTTGTGCTACTCAAATATTAATTTGCTCTAGGCAATATCTAGATAGAATTCAATATGGGCTATAACCTTATATTCCTTTGTGCATTAGGGAATTGTTTTGAACTGCGATTGTTATTTGAAATTTTGTTGCACTGCAACATAAACCAAATAAAAATTCTCATGGAATGTTCTCTGTAGGCTGTTTAGTTCCAAGCAAATGCAAAGTTCTAGTCAAAACCTGAACATATAATTTAATTGAGAGTATACTGCCAGTATAACAATGTAAAATAATGGTTTATATCAACAGTCGAATTTAGATGAATAATAATTTCAAATAATTAGTCACAATGTAGGTTGTTTTCTATGCCTTTTACTCATCTATAAATCCATTTGCTCCAACTTCATACATATTTAGATTCAGATTCCTAATTTTCTTATCCATCTGAACATACCCTGAAGGTTTATCATTATTAGGACTTCTGAAGTACTGATGTAGTTCTCAGCCTAGTATTCATGATACATATTGCCACCAGAAGAGCTTTTTCATCTTATACCTGGGTAGATTTTAATTATATAGCTAGTACTGAGAAACACACAAAGGTGTGAAACTGGTTGTTTCACCAAATAGTATTTAGTAGCATAATATCTAAAAATAAGTAGCCCTTGATATAAATTTCTCCCTTTCTTCTTGCTGGTCTTAAAAACTAGCATGTCCACTCAAAATTGTAGTGACAAACAAAAGCTACAACAGTTGTGTATAGTCATAGCTTTTTATATAAATGCTTAACAGTGAATTAATTTAAACATCTAAAGATTTTAGCATTTCCATGTAATGTGAACTCCTCTAAAAATCCTCTAATGTTAAGCAATGGCCACTTTCCAGGAATATAGCAATTCCTTACAATATACTTTTCAGTGTGTTCCTTCATTAAAGAGGACAGAACTAAGTCATTGAAGCAGTAATGCTGATTACTTTTTCTTAATTCAAAGTTTTAGAATTGATAAACATACTTTTTATAGGAATTCAAAGGATTACAGATAATGTAGATATTCTACTTCATATCCCAAATAATACCCTTGATAAAGTATAATCATTTAAATGTTTCTGTTCATTTGCCATCTCAAAGTGTAATAGGGAATTAAATGTTTGTCTTAATCCATTCAATGCACTCTGGGATCAGTCCATTAAAAGCACAATGAATAAATGGACTGATAAATCATTTAATTGTGTGACAGTAAGTTTATAATTTAAAATGCTTATTACTTTTCCTTGTGATTATTAAACAAAGCCAGATATCTTTGCTTTTGACTCTGTCTTTTGCATTTTCCCTATTGTTCCAGTAAATTATTTTCTGAAAACTGAATTCAGTCAAACTATTACAAAAATATTCATCAGTACAAATGACTTTATCCCCTGAGGCTGCTATATGTATACGTTTTAGTGTGATGACACCCACATACTCAAAAAAGCAATACAATAATACATCTTCTCTCATTCAATCCATTCACGCAGTAATATAGTACATGGTACAAAATTGTTTCAGAAGCAAAAAAAATCTAATGGAATTAATTTAATATTAAATTATTTTGATATAAAAATATGGCTTAAAAGGACTTTTAAAAATGGCAAGGATGGGATGGCATTCATAATAACCTTACTTGCCAAAAATACAAAATTATAAGGTTTTAAAAGACAAAAATGTAGAAGGAGAATGGTCATCTAACTGAGTGCATTGTCCTAGTATACTGTGTATTTTATAGTATATAATTGCACAAAGCACTGCTCCCAGAAAGAATATTTGGAAGAGTCAGATGCTTGGAGAAAACTACTGCAAAGAACAACAGGTACTACTGAATAAGAGATCAACAAAACTACATATTAAGAGCCAATGCTGCTAAGTAAAATTTGAGAGGGCCTATTCTAACATAATGTATCACAATGATCTCACTGAGACCAGTAAATAGTACCAAAAAAACCATTAACTGTGATTCTTCTTCAGTTTGGACTTTCAATTTCATATTCATTTGAACACACTGAGTGAGGTAATATAATTTGAGGTATCATACGCTGATAACATCCAAGTTTATAACATCAGTTCAGACTGTAAGGGAGATGATGTCAATGTCCAGTTCCAATGTTCGGAATCTATAAGTGTCTGAATGTAGACCAAGCTAAAGCCTAATAAAATGGAGTTACTATTTATATCCCGGGATTTCCCATCAATTCCAGTTCTAAAGGGGCAGGCATGCTTTTTGAAAGAGCAGGTTTGTCTAGAGCAAACAACTCCAGCTGGAAAAAACAGTCGATGAAAGCTATGGCTAGCGGACCTTTGCCCAGATTCATCTGTTGATCAATTATTCCCCAATAGCAGGCATGATAAATTGCTGGCCAGTGGGCTGGATGCGTCACGCTAAAACCGCGCCCACCTCATTGCCAACAATGAGGAAAAAGTCCCGATACGTCACGTGACATCGTGAGTTTGACATGCCTGCCCTATAGGTAGTCCTCACATAACAATTGGGATTGGCAACTCTGTCACTAAGCAACAAGGTTGCTAAGTAGACAACAGGTGATTGAGACAGATTTACAACCTCACTTCTGCTACAATCATTAAGCAAGATATCATGTGATTGTGACCAGCTTCTCTACTGACTGCTTATCAGAAGCTGGAACTGAAACACACAAATGGGGATTACGTAACATAAGCACCTGCCAATTGCAAAGTGCCTAAATTTCAATTACATGATCACAGGGATGCTGCAACTGTTAAATATGAGGACTGGTTATAATTTTTTCAGCATCACTGCAACTTCAAATAGTCCTAAGCAGTTGTTAAGCGAGGATAGCTGTATCTGATGCAGGCAGACCTAGGTACAATGATTCATGTCTTATTAGCACCCAATTGGATTACTGCAATTGGAGTACTTTGAATAGGGTTGCAATAACACCAATTCTGCGGGCCATGCAGTGGTCACTGATAAATATGTGAGTATAATTTAAGGTTCTTGCATTAACCTATAAAATCCTTCATGGATGTCTACAGGATTGCCTTTACTCAATTACATCAGACCAACCTGTCATATCTTCTGTGAACAGCCACTTGTGATTCTACACTTCTAGCGGGTAAGGAGAGTCAAGACGGTGCAGCCATGGAATAATTTCCCATTGGTGATCAGACTGACCTTCTTCTCTATAGACCTTTAGAAGCTTATTAAAAATAGAATTATTCTGGAGAACATATTTGTGATCTAGTTCATATTCCTCTGCGTAAATAATTCTATGCTAAAGTACTCTAAAGACTATCCATCTTAAAAGGCTATTTGAATACCTTCAGCAAAAGACAGCCCATTCATCTAATTAATTGATTCCGTCGCTTACTGTCTTACGGCACTGAATTTCTCCTAACATTCAACCCAAAGTTATCCTTTTGCAAACCCTATAGATCTAGGTCTTGTCTGCTCAAGGAGCAAAGAACAAACTTTTATCCTTCTCTGTATGACAGAAATTCTGCCTTCTTTCTCAGGCTGTTCATATTCCATTAAAAAAACTAAGTAACTGGTATGCTGATGACTGTCACTGTAATTCTCTTCAGATCAATTTCTTTACATTCTATTTAAAGTCTAGATCTGGCAGAGACCTAGGTATAGAGCAGGAGTCCCCAACCCCCAGGCCACGGCATGCCAGCAACAAGCAAAGCCCCATCCATGGGATGCAGGTAGCACACAAAACCACGCACTCTCTGGTCTGTAGCAAAACCTTTCTCCACAGAAGTGGGTCCTGGTGCCCAAAAGGTTGGTGACCTCTGGTATAGAGAATTATATTAGGAAACCAGTTTATTGTGAGCTGGTTAATTTATCTAACCATGTAAATTTAAAATGTATAGTTTTAGACAAGTATGCTCACTATTTTACCATTAAGTTTTATAACATTATTTTAACATAAGGAATTGGAATTCCATATGGAAATGGAATTATTTCCATTTCTTTAAGCAATTTTGGGGAAAAGTAGAGTGTATTAACTTTTTAATGCCTCATGTGACTCCTATCTCAAGATTAAAAAAAAATGCCCCCAGTTGACCCTTTAACTGTGAGAACAACACTTTAGTGTTTAATTACATGGTGGAAGATGCACAGACCATCACTCAAATTGATAATATTTCAGGTTATATATAACCGCCCAGAGTTACTCTGTGGTAAGATGAGCCGCCAATAAATTGTATAAATAGATAAACTGCAGTACTCATTCCAATACTATACCTATTGCACCAGAGTATTTTCATGAATTATGTGCTTTTTCCATCTTCTTAGGTAAGAAGAACATATAGAATAAAATTGTGTTTATTTAAGCAAAACTATAAAAAACAAAATCTATTTCCATATGCTATTTTTGTTCCTAAGTAATTCTGAAATTTTCAGTATGAAAAATAATCTTAAACTGGCAAAAATATGCCTAAGAAAGGCAAGGATTTCCCATTCTACTTTTTCTACCCAAGGTAAGACCTTTGCCATTCCATCCTACAAAATCAGGGTAATTTGTATACAGAGTATACAATTTGTTTGAAACATCACTATCTCCCATCTATTTAAAACACAAAGCTTGCCTCCTCCAGTCTCAATTGTCCTAGGCAGCCTTTCAATAAACTGAGATTCTAAAGTTCAAAGTACTTTAAAAAAAGTAGTTTCTCTCATGAGTTAATAGCTAGAAGGATCTAACAACGCAATTTCACCAATAAGCACTTGGAGTTGGGAAATAATCCAAGGCTACTCAAAGTTTTGAACCCACAGGTTGAAAACCAGCAACTCTTTCAACTATCTTTTTCTGATTAGAAAACTGTTTTCTGACTCAGCTATATACTCAATACTTGACACAAATTAAAATCTGTGCAGATTGGTTTGGTCACCATAAATAAAAAGCAACACAATGAATCCTTCTAATATGTTGGCTTCTGTCTTTCTATTGAATAATACATTCCATTCTGCTCCTTCCCCTCCACTAATCATACAGATTTTGGTTCAATGGAGATTGTAAGAGAAACAGAAAATAAAAACGTTGTTCTATCACAAATGCTTTGCCAACTCTTGTCCAAGGGGTTTCATTTAACCTGTAGCACTCTTTACCCATATTGTCTAAATGAACTGAAGTTATTTTGATCCTTTTTCTTCTCCTTTTTCTACTTCATCACCTTCAATTCAGTAAAGCAACAAACTTAACAGGAAGTTGGACCTTGGAGCAGTCTTTTTCATCTTTGTTACTTCTGAGGTTTTTTTTTTATTCAGTGCCAAGTACAGGATACAAATCAGGAGGCAAGGCATGACTGTAAATGAATTATAATTTAGAACAAGGGTGTGGCTCTTCGCAGCCCCAATTAAAAAACAAACAAGTAGGGATGCACTAATAGTCCTGCCCAAGGTACTATGAGACCAACGAACAGAACCAGCCTTTGAAGACCCTTGGTTAATTGCTGGGAGAACGTGTGATTGACAGCAGACACACCTCGACGGAGCCAAAGGAAGGAGGTGGGCGTGGACCGGCCGTCTCACTGGAACCAAATGCGACCACCTTTCAGGCCGCCTCTTCTCGGGGCTTATTCTGGATGAGGCCCCCCCCCCAAGTGAAATCCTTGACAACATCCAGCCCCGCAAGTGACGTCATCCAGGACCCTCTCGGGCACGAGAAAAGCAGTGGGCACACTGGGAAGGCCTCACCCACCCACGCGCCCGTGCAGAAGCGCTGGGCGCCTTCAGGCAAACTCGAGTCCCACCGTAGCCTTCTACGAGGGGAAAACACCGCCCGGAGTGGGGAGGGCGCGAGAGACACCCCCTTCCCCAGAGTAAAAGGGACAAACTATCCGCAGTTTCGGGCCTTCAAAGGCTCGCTGCTCATCTGCTGGCTTCCCAGCCCGGCTTCTCCCACTGTACCTTGCCCACGTAGTCTTTCACCTCGTCCAGGTCGCCATTCTTGAGGGCCCACATGAACTCCTTGTCGGACATAGCGGCAGCCGCCCTGACCGGGACTCGGCGCGAAAGGCCACGGTACCGCTCGAGCGAAGGGGCGGGGCGGGGTTGCAGCGGAAAGGGCGGCGGAGGCGGAACCGACGGTTAGGCGGCTGTCTCTCGTGAGGGGCGAGGGTGACGGTTACGCCTCCCAATAACTGGCACGAAGAGTCCGGAAAAAGGGAAATGCGACTAACATGAAGGTGGAGGGGCGGGTGTAATTAAACCGCTTGCTCTTGCCACACACCGCTTCCGCTTCCGCTCACCATCCGCTTTTTTCACCCACACCCTAGTTGAGGCTAGGCCATGCAAGTGCGCATGCTCCGAAAACTCGTTTGTCGTTCTCTGCCTGACTCTAGATCCAACGGCTTCCGTAACCTGCGCGGGGCGGAGCGGCCGAGTCGCTTAGGGGAAACCGGAACTAGTGCTTGAATAAGTTGAAAGAAGCGGTTGCTTAGGAAACGTAGTTGGGCATGCGTGGATGCCCTAGTTCGTCTGGGACGAAGAATGTGAGGTTGAGTTGATAGCTTGGCGGTTAAGGAGGGTGGCAAAACCTTACATCACGAAGCGTGGCTAATATCATCGCTTACAATCTGGATTCTAAGGGGGCATAAACATCTACAACAATGTTTTTCAAATTCAGCATTTTTAGGATCTATGGACTTCCAACTCCCATAATTCCCCAGCCAGCATGAGGAGCTGGGAATTAAAGTCCACACATCTTAAAGTTTCTGAGGTTTATATTGCAAATTGGCAGATGTATAAAAAAGGGAGAAATTAGAAGCCTAGTAGTCTTTTTTCAAGATTCGCTTTGCTTATCTAGTTTTTATTAAGGTGTTAAAAAATAATTTAAAATGTAGCAGAGACCTTAGCATTAAGTTATCAGCTCAAAACTAAAACCTTTGTCGTATAACAAATACTTTGATACAATATGCAGCAGAATTTTTTTCCTAAAGTTATATTCAGTTCTGGATGAAAAAGTCAATCTCATGCTCATATCCTGAACTGTAATATTGATATAATACTTCTTTCTCTGGGCTTTATTTCCAATACAAGTAGTTCTTGACTTACCAGAATTGGGTCCTGAATTTCCTTTATTAAGCAAGGTGGTTATTAAGTGAGTCACACCCAATTTTATGACCTTTTTTGTCATAGTTAAGTGAATCACTGCAGTTGTTGAGAGAATAAGTTGGCTGTTAAGCAAAACTGGCTTCCTCCGTTGACTTTGTTTGTTGGGAGATGGCTGAAAAATTGTAAATGGTGATCATGTGACCCTAGGACACCGCAACCAGTGTAAATACATTCTGGTTGCCAAGAGTCAAAATTCTCATTACATGATTCCAAATTCTGTTGGAATGCTGTAATGGTTGTGTGAGGACCAGTCATAAGTCACTTTTTTCAGTACCTTTGTAACTTTGAAAAGTCACTAAACAAATGATTGTAACTTAGATTGTAGTCTAAGTTATCTAAAGAATAGAGTGTAAAGAAACTACCAGTAATACTAAATAAATGAATTACAGCAGTGGCCCCCAACCTTTTGGGCATCAGGGATCAGTTCGGTGAAGAAAGGTTTTTTCCGTAGACCGGAGTGGGTGTAGTCTTTTTTTTTTTTAATTGAAAATTTTTAGGTTTTACAAAAAGAAAAGATTCCCCTCCCTCACACCCTCCCTCCCCTCCCCTCCCCCAATCTTCCCAAAGCTGAATATAGGCTTAGTTAAAAATTTTTTTAAAGAATCTTGAAACACTTATAAACCATAAACAAATCTAAATACGTTAATTAAACAAATTATAAAATAATTAAGAACAATATGTTAAAAAAATACAAGAAGAAAGAAAAGAAAAAACAAAAATAAAAAATAAAAAAATAAAAATAAAAGAAAATATCTAAGAAATATCTTAAACTTTAATTATAAATTATTCAAAAATTAAGTAATATTTTTTTATATCCAACTTATATTGTATGAAATCTATCCATCTTTTCCATACCAGGAGATACTTCTCCTGCGATTGATCTTTCAAGAAAGCCGAAATCTTTGCCATTTCCGCCAAATAAGAAACTTTAAAAAGCCATTCTTGCAATGTAGGCAAAGATTCCTTCTTCCAACATTGCCCTACTAACAACCTGGCCGCTGTAATTAAATTTAACATCAATATAATCTCTTTACTGTCACAATCGGAAACAATACCTAACAAAAACAATTGTGGGGTAAATTTATCCTTCTGAAAATTCTTTGAATATTCCACCATATTTTAATCCAAAAAACTTTTATATTTTTACATAACCACCAGATATGGTAATAAGTAGCATCCAAACATCCACATCTCCAACATTTAGGCTGCAAGTCAGGATACATACGAGACATTTTTTGTGGATCAAGGTGCCATCTGTAAAACATTTTATAAAAGTTTTCCCTTAAATTTTGGGCTTGTGTAAATTTAACATTCCTTACCCAAATAATATCCCAGGTATCTAATAAAACCGGTTCCTCAAAATTTTGTGCCCATTTAACCATACATTCTTTAACTAATTCTGCTTCTGAATCCAACTCTACTAACACCCTGTAAATTCTCTTAATGTGAGTTTGTCTTTGATCTTTTATTTGTTTTAACAAATTCTCATCTTCTCTAAGCAAACCCAAATTACGATCTATCTTCCACCTCTCTACTATTTGTCTATGCTGAAACCATGAATAAATAATATTTTCTTGTGTTAAATCTTCTAGAGATTTTAATTGCCAATTTTTACCACCCCATCTAAGTAATTATGCATAAGAAACACTATCCATCTTGACTCCTCTCCTTATCCCTTCTGTTGCATGCCATGGTATAGCCCATATTGGAATTTTAAAATCATTTCTATAATATTTCTTCCAAACCCAAAGTAAAGAAGTCCTTATAATATGAGATTTAAAAACCCTGTCAACCTTTTTATTGAAAATTAAATAGGCATGCCATCCGAAAAGCAAATCCCAACCCTCTAAGAGGAGTACTTCTACATTTGTTAAATTAACCCAATCACTAATTAATGTTAAAGCCACAGCATCATAATACAATTTCAAATTCGGTACCTTGAGTCCACCCCTCTCATGAATATCTTGTATAATTTTAAGTTTTACTCTTGGTTTAGGAGTGGGTGTAGTCTTGTGTGCTGCCTGCATCCCGCAAATGGGGCTTCGCTTGTTTGTGCGGCCTGGTTGCTAGCATACCACAGCCGGTGTCAGTCCATGGACCAGGGATTGGGGATCCCTGAATTACAGGAAATGGCAGGGGTGTCAAACTCACAACGTCACATGACGTGTCACAACATATCGTGACTTTTTTTTCCATTGCCAGCAATGGGGTGGGCACTATTTTGCCATGACACATCCAGCCCATGGGCCAGCACCTCTGGTATACGGTGTTAAACTTTATAACAGAAATTAAAAACAAAAGAAAAGAATACAAAGGATTCTAGCAAACGTTAGATTCATATTTTTACAAGTGGATTTCATTGATTTCCAATCTTCAGTAACTTTAGATTTCAATCTTAATTGGACATTGAAAATACTTTATCCAGTGTAGAAAGAAAAATCTTCATCAGGGTCCAGTCCAAGCTGGGAAAAACAAAATGGAGACTGCTTTAGAAAGATGGTTAGAGTTTATTGAAGAGCAAAGCCAGACAGAAACGTGGCTCTGGGAAAACTGACCACATGTTGCTGGGAGTGGTGGTTTTAAACAGGTTGTTTCCTATTCCTGTTTGAGGCTTTGTATTTCCTGTGTCATATACTTTGACCTGAGTCTGAGTGTGCCTTTTTGGTATTGGTGGGTTAATCCTATTATGTCCCCAAAGGTCATGTCTTTTAGAGTTTGGGTGGGGTATATAGATTTTAGAAGTCTTTGTCTTCCTAATCTCATACTGTAGCTTCTAGCTTCCTGGGCCCAACCTTCTTGAATGGATTATTACAATTGCATTTCTAAAAGCTGGTTTCTGCTGAATTTTCTGACTGGGGGGGGGGAGGCAGAAGTTTCTGCCTTTTAAAGATCTTCACCATTATTCCTTTGGAGAAATATATTCTGCCTTTTTAATATTTCCCAAAATATTTCTTTCTCTGGATTCTTCCCACACCAGTTTTAATTTCATTGAAATCACAAGGACTTATTTCTGAATAAAATCACATCATTCCTTCCTTCCTTCCAAGGAAAGCATTTGTACAACATTCTATGAAAGTCCTACCATTGATGTTCATGTACTTTGTTCTCTTGATAGGTGTGTATAGATTCCATCCTTAACTGGCTGGAAATGCAATCAAGTGATCAATATATTCTTTATAAAATCCTTTTTTTCAGCTTTTAATGTAACAAGTTTGAATTAATTTAAACATGCAAAAGAAAATATTAATCTGATCTAGTTGTATCTGCAGGCTTACTTAGAACCACTGAAATTAGAAGGATGCCCATTGACTTTATTCTGGCATGTCACTAGATCTTGTGCTTAAATTCATGAAATAAAGTGTTTGCTTTTGAGTAAATTTAACAAGTAAATCTTTTAACAAAGTTATTCTATAATTATGGAAATCTTATTAATGTCATGTAATTATGTTGAGGATTTTAGTCATGGTACAATTTAAATGGAATGGCATTTAAGATTGCAGCCTCAATGTTTTATATGCACCTATTAAAAAATATACACAATTTATTTTTACATAAGCATTTTGGTTTTTCAGTAATGGAATGTCTGCTTATATAAGCCTTCAAATTTTACTTTATTGGCTGTTTAATCTGCCTATCATTAAGAGAAACCAGGGCAGCATATATCATGATTGCTGTTTTCCCTACAGCAAAAATCCTGTGTGGTAAGTTGGGCTGAGAGAAGTGACTGGTTTAAAATTACATAATGAGCTCTGGCTGACACTGGATTTAAGTCTGGGATTCTCTCACAGGCTGAATCTATTACACTACTTTAGCTCAAATATGCACTGAGGATGAATACTACTTATGTCTGTATGTCTCTTCATACATTTTCTGGATCATGTATTGTAATAATAGAAACCATGTTTTATGAATGAGGCATGGCACATGCTTGATAGAGAAGTGGCAATTTGAACTAGATTAAGTAGATTATCGTAAGGTATTAAAGCACCTGACCTTTCTTTTTACCAATAGAAAATATTTCAGCATGGATCTCATTCAAGCAAAACATTTCTACTTGCTTACTGTCGGGATGATAAACACAAGTGCTCTATTTAGTGCTAAATGTAATCACTCTTATGTAAATACTA